GAGGGGGTGCTCCCGGCCTGCTGGAAGTGGGCGGCCAGGCCGGCCTTGTCCTTGCACTGCTCCTTGCATTCCAGGCACTGGCAGGAGTTGGGCGCCGACGGCTGGTCGGTGCTGCCGCCGCCACTGTTGCCGCCGCTGTTGCTGCCGCCGCTGCCCAGGGGCAGGACGGGCAGGTCCTGGCCGGCGCCCCCGTTGGCCAGGCCGATGTCCGGGGCGAGTCCGGCCGGGGTGGCGGTGGTGGGGGCCTTCCCGGCCTGGCTGAGGGCGGCCAGCGGGAGGAGCGGAGCCACGTCCGGCTGGCCCACCATCTGGTCGAGGGCGATGGGCCGCATGACCAGGTGGGAGCACTGCATGACCAGCCCCTTGTCCTTGTGCTCGCGGGCGTGGAGCAGCAGGCTGCACTTGTTGAAGAAGACCAGCCGCCGGGCGCAGTGGTTGCAGGTCACCTCCACCCGCAGGCTGCGCCGGTCGTAGTGCCGGGCCAGGCTCCGCTCCAGGGCAAAGGCGTCGCCGCACTCCAGGCAGCGGTAGCCCAGCGGCGGCAGGGCCAGGCTGGACTCGGCCGGGGGCAGCAGGTTGGGCTTGTAGGGGGGCAGCAGGTTCTTGCTGTTCAGGATGCGGTTGAAGGCCTCCACCAGGCTGGACTGGCTGCGGGAGATGACCGTGCCGGCCGCGGGCGGAGGGGCCTTCTGCGGCTGCATCACCACCACCGTGGTGCCGTTCAGCTTCTGGCTGGCGGGGGCGGGCAGGGCGGGGCCCCTGGCCTCGGGGGCCGCCTTGGGGAGGGCCTGGGGCACCAGGCTGAGGATGCTCTTGGCCAGGGCCTTGCTGGGCAGCACCACCGCCTTCTGCTGGGCCACACTGGCCGCCATCAGCATGGCGCTGCTGGCGCTCTGGATGGGGGAGGCCGGCAGCACCGTCCCCTTCAGCTTGGTGCCGTCGCCCAGCTGGACGCTGACCACCTGGGGGGCTTCAGCCGCCTTCGCCGGGGCCTTCGGGCCGGGGGTCTCTGGAGCGGCCTCTTCCTTCTGGGTGGCAACGGCCGCCGGGCTCTCCGGGGCTCCCGGACTGCAGGGCAGCTTGGCGGCGGCTGGGTCGGCGTCGGACGAGACTCTGGTCACCGTCCGGGTGATGCTTCCCGAGGACGTCTTGATGGTCTTGATGCGGACCTTGAGGGGCCGCGAGGAGCCGGACGAGGGGGACCCGGGGCTCTGCTCCTCCCCCTCCTCTTCCTCCTCCTCCCCCTCCTCCTCCTCCCCCCCACTGGGCGGGCCTGGCAGGCCCTGCAGGGGTTTCTCCACCGGCTCTTCTTTCAGGGACCCATCGCCGCCGGGGGGCCTTGGGGAGGCCCGGGGCCCAGGACTGGCTCCCTTGGGTGGGGAGCCCTGGAAGAGCTGCTCCCGAGGGCTGGAGAGGCGTTGCTTGATGTCGGGCAGGCCGCCCAGCTCTCCCTGCAGGTCGGCCTCAGAGCCCGGCCAGGGGACGCAGGGGGAGGTCTCTGCGGAGTAGCAGGAGGAGGCGGACTTGGGCTGCCCCAACGGGCTGGACCCCTGGCAGGGCCCCTTGCAGTCCGCCTCCTGCTTGATCACGGGAGGAGCAGCCGGGGGAGGGGGGGTCAGCAAGAGGCCCATCCCGCCGGGAGGGCAGGGTTCAAAGGCCGGGGGGAAGGCCGGAGGGGGCGAGGGTCCCAGGCTCTCCTCGAGGGGTCCAGGACCCTCCAGGGAGGGGGCAGCGGACAAGAGGGGCGCCGGGGGGATGGCCGGCCCTGCCAGACCCGGCTCCCTCGCCTGGCATCCCCGCGGCTGGTCGATCAGGTCTGCCTCCCCGTCCTTGGGAGGCTCGGGGCTGAAGGGGGAGAAGAGGTCCAGGCTCTTGGGGGCCTTCTCCTTCAGGGCCCAACACTCCCCGTTGGCGGGGGCCACGGCTTCTGCCGAGGCGGCCGGGGAGCCCCGGGGCGCCTCGGGGGCCGCAAAGCCGTTCTGCAGCAAGCGGGAGCCGTCCTTCAGCCGCCCGTCCGCCGGCTCCAGCTGCTCGGGGCAGACGGTGTTCTTCACGATGACACTGACGGTGGTGATGTCGGCGTGCGGCAGGGCGTGCTCGGGGCCGGGCACCTCCACGGGGCCGGGGCGGACGGGGGGCTCGGCCTCCTCGTGGCCCGAATGGATGGCCTCGCTGGTGTCGATGTCGGGGATGTCGAAGGCCGCCAAGAGGTCGTCGAAATCCGGGGTCTTCATGTCCCCCATGGCGAGGGGCTGCGAAGGCTCTGGAAGACAAGGGCCAGCGGTCAAGCCAAGAGGGGCACAAGGGGGTCAGAGCTCCCCCCCTGGCCGGTCTGAGCGGCTCTCCAAAGAGGTGGGGGCTGGGCTGGCCGGGCGGCCGTCTCTGCAGAGGTGCCAAGGCAGCCAGGTGGGCAGCCCTGCAAGGAAGGACCCGGGTCAAAGGAGGTCTGCATTCTTACATTCAGGTCTCCCGCGAGGGACAGCGGCCGTGGCTCACCCAGCCAGGCCTGGTTCCAGCATCCAGAGATCCTGGGCCGTTCCCCAGGCTCCGCTCCAAGCTTCCTAGGAGGAAAAGGTGACAGAGCCCCATTTTATGGCTGTCAGCCATTAAAAGGAACAAGTTTCCCCAGATCGGTTGGCCGACGTTTTGGAAGGAGACACAAAAACGGAAGGCAAACAAGGAGGAAAAAAGCTACACACAGCAGCACGAATAACGAACAAACAGGCGAGAGTGAAGGCGGCTGACCTCTCTTGGCCACACCACTGCCCCCTTCTCCCCCCTCGGGCCCAATCCCTTGACCGGCACCCGGCCAGAGGTAACCAGGCTGCGGGGTGGAGCTTCTCCCCCAACAAACCCATGCAGTCCTCCCTTGTGGGCCTGGGGGCCGCTGGATAGCAGGGGGGCCGAGACGAGGGGCTCGAGTCTTCCCAGAGGAAGGAAAGTACGAGGAGGATGGGCTTCTGGAGGGAGGCGGTCCCTGTACCAGGGTGTGCCACAAAACTGTGGCCAGAGGGGCAGCCGGGCGCTTGACCTACAGCCCCTTTGGGGCGAGCCGTAGCTCTGTGGCCTGGATCTGGGATGGATCCTCCTCCACCCATTTACAGACGCACAGGATGGCCGCCCCTTCACCCCTTTGGCCAGCGTCCAGGTTCGTATTATTTCCTGGCGGATCCCTGGGGAATGGGGGGCACCGGCACACGCCCACCTGCCCGAGACTCTCGGCAGCCAGAGGGCAAGACCCGCCTCCTCCTTTCCTACCAGGCGGGAGGACCAAGGAGGGGGCCATTCCTCTCCACCCGCCCTGGGCACCTGCAGGACCAACGCCACTAACCTGAGGAGGAGGCTCCCTAGAGGCCAGGAACCGGGCTGGGAGGAGGAGGAGGAGGGTGGGGGGGGCCCAGGGCCTCCGCCTCTTGCCAGGCCAGCAGGCCAGGTGACGCCTGGGAGGGAGGCTGGCGCAGTCGCTCTGCCCAGCCTCCCCAGCCAGCGCCAGCTGCAGAGGGAAGAGCGGGGAGGGAAGCCAGGCGGAGGAAAACAAGCACCCGGCTCCCCCCCCGGGGGCCGAGCCAGGGAGGGGAAGGCAGGGCTACCTTTCCCCGCAGCCCTGCTCCTCTCCAGCCCAGGCGTGCCAGTCACGTTGGGCAGTTAGGATGCCCCCCTCCCCAAAGGAGCCCTGCTCTGCCATCTGCCGAGGGTGGGAAACCCGGGTTAGGAGCAGCAGCAGCCCCCCCCCCCCCCCCCCCGGGGGGGAGGGCAGGAAGGGCCGACTGGGCGCCTGGCGAGAGAGAAAACCAGGGCTGGCCAGATAAGAGGAGGAAGGGAGGCCCGTCGCCAGGCGGAAGAAAAGGTTCCGCCAACGGAGCAGGGGGGGAGGACAAGGGAGGCCTCTGCCCTTCACTCAGCCTCTTCTCTGCGTCTGGAAGGGGGACGAGAGGGGCGCAGGGACCCCTCGGAGGGAGAGGAAGGCCTGACCCAGGCCTGGGGTGTGTGTGTGTGTGTGTGTGTGTGTGTGGTTTCTGCTCCAGGGAAGGTTTGGATAAACACATGCCAACACAGCTCCTCGGGAGCAGCCCCAGCGCACACCTCAAGCAATGCAGCCTCCAGCAGGGGAGATTCCGCTGATCCAGCGGATTCAAGCCAAGTTTCAGGCCACAAAACCTAAAGGAGGCAGGCGGCCAGGGTGGCTCTGTCTGCAAGGAAAGGCCCGGGGAGCGTTGGTGTGCAGCCGTGTGGCTGGGTGGCCTGCTAAGGGGGGACTGGGACCAAGCCCCTCCGACGATTCTGGGGCGATGGGGTCTTCCTGGACCCCCATGACGGGGCCTCCACGGCTCCTGTTTCAGGAAGACTTCCAAACAGCAGAGCCACCGTCTCGGAATGAGACACCAATTTGTCCACACCAAGTTATTCCACAGCTCTGCTTCCTCCTCCTAACTCTGCTAAAGCTGTTTTATCAGTGCAGGAACACCCGACAGTCTCTGCCCACGATGGACAAAATCCGCCACGGAGGATCACGCGTCATCCCTGCACGCCCATCCCGAACAGACCGGTTCCCTAGGCCCCCCCAGGAGCCAAAACCCAAACGTCTCCCTCTTCCCGGACCAAGGACGCCCCTGGCTCGCAGCTGTTTGGGGAGAGCCAGGCCGAACCCCCAAGGCAGATTTCCCCATCTCTTCAATCCTAAAGGCTGCCAGGCTGGGTGTCCGAGGAGGGCACAGGGATTTCTGAGAGCTGCCAGGGCATCGCACGGGGCACCCAACGGCCTGTGCTTGGCGGCAGCCGCACCGGACGGGAATCAGCACTCGCCCAGAGCAAAAGTGCAACACAGCTGGGAAAATTAATGGAAAATTAAATGCTTATGTCTTCGGGGTTGGGTGTCTGCCACATTAGGACACTGAAGTCACCGGGGGAGGGGGGAGCCCCAATATTTATGGCCAGCGATTTGGCCCTGGGGTGCCCGATAATACTGGGTCCTATTCGCCTGCACCCCAGCCCAGGAGAACAGCCACGTCTCCTTCTGAAGAAATTTTGGGTTGGGGCTTGAAAATGAATCCACGGGATGAACGAGGAGGGCAGGAGCTGGGAAAGGGGGCCGCCCCACAGAAGCCCACCTGCTGACCGGAGGTTTGTTTCATGGCCAGCAGGATCTTGCCAAGCCTGCTCAGCTCCACGGACTGGACCGGACGTGTTCATCCTCCGTTCTCCCTGCTTTTTATACCTCTTCACACCCTGCCCTGTGGCACACTCAGGGCAGAGGCCAAAACGAACACGAAGCGTGGATTTTCCAGCTGGAGACGTTATCCAAACGCTCACCCCCTTCCCCCCCTCCAAAGCAGGGGCCGGTCACCCACTTTTCAAGCTCCCCACAGCTGACCTCCTGTCCTCCCCACCCCCACCCCCGCGCAGGGTTCGAAAACCACCCTGGGAACAGGTTGGGCAAGAAGCAGTGGTGTGTTGTTGTTTTTCCCCTATGGAGAGAGTTTATTATTCCAGAGGAATCAACGCCCATGGCAGCTGCCTACCCCCGACCCAACCCAGCCATGTCTGGCAAGAGATTAAATTCCAGTCCATTTAAGAGAATTAAGGCAAGACCATCTGCTAACTTAAAAATACTAAGCAGGGAGGGGAAAGGAGAGAGAGAGAGAGAGAGGAAAAAGAAGACTCCAAGCTTCCACTCAAGGGGGGGAAGGGAGGTTAATTTTAATGAAAATACGATATTGATTGGCTTGAGATGGCAGGAGTCATAAGCATAACAAACCCAGGTCAGGAGGAGGAAGAGGTTGTCAGCCCACAATGCACAAGATCGCCCAGGGCATAAAAGGCAGACGCTGGCGCTTTTGAATAGCAACAAGTGATTTAAGTCATTCCTAGATGGCACCAATTCAAATGCAAACAGTAAGAAAGGCGGCATTAAGTGGCTGGCCTGGAATCCAGAAGTAACATATCAGCACAAACACCAAACACATCCAGAGAAGGAAGCCACAGGAAGTGGACACCACATACTTCAAACTCCAGTCATGCCCCAATATGTGGCCCTCTTTGAAAAAGCGTAATCCAAAAGTTTGGAGTCCTTTCCTGCCACCCACCAATTTCTCAAAGATTACAAGGACCCAGGGTGAAAAGGAAAGAAAAAAGAGAGAAAAATCAATGAAGATCTTTAAAAACCTTCCTCTTCTAGCCATTCAGCCTTTCCTGCTTTAATCCAATTCATACAAGGTGGGCATTTATTTACTTATGGCCAAGATCCCCCAGGGCATCCCACAACGGATTGGTGGTCGGAGATAACACAGGGATAGGAGGACATCCCCCCAAAGAGAAAATTCCAGACTTCAAAAGTGCGTAAAATATAAAAAAAATGCATAAAATCCCTCCTCCCCATCTAGATCCTGCACACCGTGACCCTGCATTGCCCAAAATCCAACATTTCCAAACACACCTGTGATACTTCCAACTCTCCCCAACCCAGGTAGACGATGCCCGGAATTAGGCGGCTTTCGATTCATTTTGTTAAAAGGAAGAGGGGGAAAAAGGCCAAACTGGTCCAGGGAAGGTAAAGACTTGCCTGGTGGGTGGACAGGAAATTTGGAGGCTGTTAAAAGTGACCACACACACAACAAACTCCTTTAAAACTGTGAAATATTAGAACGCCGGCATTGTGGGCCACAAAAAGAGCAGAAATAAGTCACCAGAGAAAATGCTGCATGGTAATATTGGGGGGGGGGGATTTGGAGGGGCCCCCCAAAAATCCTCGCCTCCATTTATTCTCCTCTCTTAATGGGGGGGGGACCCAGGAAGCCCCCCCATTGAGCTCCTTCAAAGGTTTTCCCCTTTTGGGGGGCTGGGGTCCCCCTAGATCTGCCCCCCATGGAAAAATATCCACCCCTTTTTTTTCATTCATATTTTAGCCCAGTGTCCTAATGGGGGGAGTCAGTCGTTCTGGTTTGGGGGGGCAACCAAGGAGACCCCCCCTTTGCAATTTTCGGCAGCCCCCCTTCCTCCAGGCAGGCTTTTTTTTGAGGGGGGGGGGGGGTGTTTTTTTTTGGGGGGGTTCTTTTTTAAAAAGGGGAGGGGGGGTTTTTGGGGGGGGGGGGGTGTTTGGCCTTTACTGCTCCAGGCAGAGCGGGCGAGGATGATGGGATCTGGAGTCCTGGGGAAATGGGGTTTGTAGTCCCACCCCTTAGCTGGGCCGGGGGGTGGAGGACCCCGGGCGGGGGTGCCGTGGGGGAGCGGAGGGAGACCCCCCCACCCGGGCCCACGCGGCTGCCCTGCCCCTCCCCTCGCTTGGAGGCCTCGGGGGAGGGGAGCAGACCCCCCCACGCCTTGAGGCGGCCACGCGGCCTCCTACCTGCGCGGCCCCGGCCCCCTCGGCTTCCCGGCGTGGGGGCTTCGCGGTCGGCGCGGCGCTTCCCTCGGCTGCTCTGAGGGCCTCCGCCTCCTCGGCTGCTTCCTGCTTCCCCCCCCCCCCACAGCACTCGTGAATCGACATTGGACCGCTTGCCCGCCACTCCAGGGGCACCGCGCTTCGCCGTTGGCCGAAAGGGACGTCATTTATAGGCGGGAGCAGGCGCTCCGGATGGCTATAGGGTCAAGGGCCTTCGCTACAGAGGAATGCACCGCCCACTTCGACCTCAGTTTTCATTGGAGGCGAGGGAGCAGAGGGGGCTGCTCTGTTCCTGTTGCCTTTTTGACCTATTGGTTGGACGGCCTGCCTATCAACGCTCGGCACGCCTCATCCGCTGGCCGGTGGAGATCGTTTTGTGCGACCCAGCCGGGGAAAATTCACTCGGCAGGTGAGCTCCCCCCCATCGGTTCTATTGGCTAAGAATGCCATAGTTGCACAGCGGCTTCTCATCGCGATTGGCTTTTCCGAACGTCACTCAGGCTGACGTCGAATGTCGCTTTCCAATTGGTGAAAATCCGCCTCAGGCGGGACTTTCATTATATTGACTCATTGCTTTGAGAACACAGTAACTGCAGCAGGTGTAACGAACCGCCTATTGGTGTTCAACCATGGAGAGGAGGGGCTTTGCCCGTGTTCTACTCATCTTATTGCGTATTATTCCCGTCGTTCAAATGAATTGCCCGCCTTCTCGCCCGCCCTCAAAGGGCTTGAAAACATGAAAAACACCAACTCGTAAGGCATGATGGGAGGCCTCTCGCCACGGGAGCCGCGCAAGGGCGCCTGGGAGAAAATGACTCGGGCACCTGAGGGAGAGCGCAAAGGATTGTGGGCGATATTGGCCAACCTGCACTTCCGGCCAGGGAAAAATGTGCTTTTTTAAAAATAAAAAAACATGAAACTGATTTTTAATTAAAAAGTTTAAAAATTGCCCAGGCTCTCCAAACTTGGCAACTTTAAGACTTGTGGACTTCAACGCCCACAATTCCTCAGCCAGCTATTTGGGGGGGGATTCTGGGAGTTGAAGTCCACAAGTCTTAAAATTTCCCAAGTTGGGAGAGCCTCGGCCTGAAGGAAGGAGACCTGGTCAAAAAGTGGCCTTTCCTCTCCAAGCCAAGGCTTATTGCACAAGCCAGCATGGAAAGCCCTACCCAAGCCAGTATTTCTCAGCCTGGCCTACCTCGCAGGGGTGTTGCTCAGAGAAGACGGGGAGATGTCTGGGAAAACCTGGGAGAAGCCAACAGATACAATTTTGCAACAGATGGCCCTTGCGCCTGCAACCCTAAGCGCTTGTTCAGCTCTGCACACCAACCCTGCAAGGCAGATTCACCCATGAGGACTAGAGCCCTGAGCAGGCCAGAGTGTCGGGCCCAGCAAAAGAGTGAGACCGTTGGCCTCCTGCCTCTCTCCTTGAGGCGGGCTTTGTGTTCTGTTTCCCCACCTGCCTCGGTTCCAAGCCAGATCTTGATCTCCCTGGCCCGGCTCGCCATGGCAGTCCAGCCTGGAACAATCTTCCCTTTGTGCTCGGCTGAGGCCAGGGTCTCCGTCTCCCCCTCCTCCCTGAGGCCAGGCTTTGGACGCCTTCCAAGGCCGCCGTGACGAGGCTCTTTTCCTTGAAGGGAGAGCGGTGGCCGTGCTTGGGCCCAGTTGGGGCAAGCGGCCAGCCCTGGAGCCTCCTTTTCAAAAGCGCCTTGTTCACACAATATCAGGTGGTGGAACCTGACCTGAACAAAATGACAGGGAACGGAGATGGGGCTCTTCTGCCCAGCCGTCTTCCTGGACCCTGAAACAAAGGCTGCCTTCTTGTTTTCTCTCTCTCCTTGCTTTTCTTGCAACTGGAGGGATGAAATGGGTGGCTTTGTTTTTGGCTTGGGCTTCTCTCCTGCGCTGTTCTCAACCTCTCTTCTTTTTTTTTTTGCTTTCACCTTTTAGAAATAAACACCTTATTCAATGGACATCTGATTGCAAAGGATGATGCAGCAATACACTGACCCGAATCTTCCCTTTCTGCACCTCGGCATGGATCTTGGCCAACTGTCAGCTAAATAATATTTTTTGGAGTGTCAGAAGAGATTCAGCAATACTGCCAAAAAATTAGCAAAACTCTGAATTGCCTCAACTCAATTTTAGTAACTTTCTTCCAAAAAAAAAAAAAAAGGAAGAGAATATCCCACACTGTAGGCTAGGTATCTCTGCATTTTCTCTTACCTGAGAGCAAAATACCTGTTTTCTAATCCTGCCTCATGACCTTCAAAGTTACTGGGTGTCAGGGAGGCGCAGATGGATTTCTAGCTGAGAGGATGCAGAGCTGGGAAATTTACAGAGGTGCATTGTTTGCCTCGGCTCCCAGCCGGGTGGGTGAGGCTTTTACGAGTCAAATGCTATAAAAGAGGCAACGTGACTCCCTTTTCCTTACCATCCTGTGTTTCCACCCGGAGCCCATCCTACAGGACATGGCCAATGAAGAGAAGCACCCCAATTCCTGGCCAGGAGGGCTGCACCCGAAGAGCCCTCCTTACGTAAGTGGGGTCCACGGCATACAGACTGCCATTTTGTGATAATTGACGTTGAGTTGTATCGTCTGTCTCTTTCTGAACTCCTCCATTGGTTTGACAGTCTCCCCACTCCGGTCTGGAGCTCACCAAGACCCCCACGGTCTCCAACCACAAGCTGCTCATCCTGACAGTGGGTGCCATTGCTGCTTTTTCCATCAGCATCGTTGGGATCCTCGTGGCGACGTTCCTGGGGCGAACGTCTTGTCTCCAGGTACTGAAAGGGAAGCCGTCTCTAACTGGCACAAAATTAGGACCCTCGTTAAGAAGGGGCTGCAATGCAGAGCAGAGATGGCTCGGCTTCCGTTTCTGAGCTGGTCAGATTAAAAGAGGGAGGTCACACCCAGCATCCTGCCCAGGAGCCAATGCAGTCTTAACCATGATTGAAAACACAGCACCAACATAGGCAGGGATGGGAAAATGCCAAGACTGCATGGACCAATGTCGTGAAGGAGCTCCAGAATAGAGGTGGGGATAGTGCACCCCACACCACTGATATTGGGCCCATAAAATTGAATCAACCCAAACAGGTAATAATTTTGGCGCCCCTGGAGCCAAAAGAAACCCACTGTCGGACATTGCTGGGGGTGAGATTATGTAGGATTGTGCCCTGTGCCACAGCTGGCATTTCAGCGGCTCTGCTGGAGAAGTCTGGATGGAAGGCAGCCTTGAACTCAAATCTGATTTGTCTCCCCACTTTCTTGTTCCCTCCCCCTGCTCCAAGAGGGGCGCCCTTGGCTACCCCACACAAGTCAACGTCCAAAACGAAGCATCTCTGCTGCTGGCTCTCAGCGAACTCGACGAGCAGGGCCTCCCACCCGGCATTACCTGCGATTTGAGAAACGTGAGTCGTGGCATCAAGCTGGAGCTTCGAGGGGTGAAGCGGGGTGATCTCTGCTTCCCCCCCCCTCTTTTCCGGCATAGCCTCGTTCACTTAGCCAAAGGGCCCTGGAATTACTGGAGGGTTTTCCCTTCACCACCATTTGCAGAGCAAGGAATTTAAAGTGCTCGCCAATATCCGTTTAGTTGGGATCTACCGGGAGCAGAGACAACCTGCAGGGAATGCCAACCTCTTTGGGCTGTTTTCTCTCCAGCGCTTGATGGTGTATCACGGCCAGCCGGAGGGGTGTGTGACCCGCAAAATGGACCCCGCTGAACTGCTGCCATCCTGCCAGGACCTGGAAAGCTTCTTCCAAGCTGTCCTAGTAACTCTCTTGCTGTTCCGGGGGGGCAAGGGGGGGGGGGGGCGGGGATGCAAAACGCAGGTGCTCCCAGGTGCTCTGCCTAAAATGGCCCAGCCACCCAAGCTCCACTTCTTGCTCTTTCTCCAGCTGTTTCCCTCTTGCCTTGGGAAGCAGGGAAATGGGGGCAAAGGGAAGGAGGAAAGGGGTGATCCAAAGCCAAATTTGCTCGACTCAAAGAGATCCCAATTCTCTTGCAGAAAAACGTCACTCTGGGGATCACCGCAGAGGTACAGATGATGGGAACGGGGGCCCTGGGAGGCCTGGTCACTTTACTCTGCAGCAACAAGCCAACATACCTGGTTGGAAGCTCGGCATGTAAGTGGCATGGGTAGGTCAGGATGGGCAAAACAGGCCTCCCTCTGCATTCCGGATGTGGGTGGGTGGGGGATATGCAAGGCTATTTCCTAACCATAACCCACCTTCCTTCCTTCCCTCCTTCCAACAAAGCCAGATCCTTTCTTCTTCTTCTTTTTAACTTCTTTCCCCAGTGGCTTCTCCGAGAACCAGAGCTGCTACTTAGGAAAGAAATCTTCTTATTTCTTCCTGCTAAAATCTTCCCCTGCCACGGAAGAGGCCACAAGGCGGTTGCACGGCTGGGGAAGACAAACCACAAGACGGAGACTGTCTTCCACCACCGCGCCTTTAAAAATCGCTGAATTTGTAGCACTTAATAAAGAGGAGAAAATGTGGAAGGATTTGGTCTGGATAATGTGAGTCAGTTTAAAAAACAACCCTCTGCATTTCCAGAGTTCCCAACTCTTTTAAGAACACGGGGAAGAGCGGAGGCGGCCAAAGAGTCTGTTCACAGCCACTGACCTTTAAATGTTCAACTAAAAATACGAGTCAGTCGTGGCTGTAGCAGACTGAACAAAGGCACGAGGGTTTGGGAACTGCGGTTCACCTCGTTGGATGCAACTTCAGGCGTCTTCCGATGTTTGGCTTCCACAGCCTAACATGGCTCTCTTCCTGCAACCCACCATAAACAGAGATACACTCGCTGGTGTAAGTGATGCAGTGTTTTATAATCGGCAGCAATCGGGGTTTATAGGAGAGGGCCGTTTCAATGGGTTGCTAGAATTCTCTCTGGGGGCATCTTAACAGACGAGGATCCAGAAGTAAAAATGAGAAATAGATCTGGATGGAGGTGGAGAGGCTGGGCATTCTCCAGTTACACAGGGGTGGAATCTGACTTTTTCACCTCTGTCCGTCACCGAGATGGAGGTTTACACGCTGTGTCCACCCCTCTGGTGACGCTTTAGGAGCCTGCTTCAAAGAAACACACCAAGTATGGAGAAAATTTAAGGGTTTTATTTACTGTTGGACCAGAAGCAAAATGCGAAAAGGACCCCACTCCCCTGTGACCCCCACCCCCCCCCCCCCCCCGCAGACAGACAAGCCCAGAAAGGTTATGGAAAACGAACGCTACCAGGCCACACAACCTGGGAGGTGTGTGGACAGAAGGACAAGGAGGGGCTCAGCCGCCCCCGCCCCCTCATTTCTTGTCTTCCTCCTTTTTCTCCTTGCTCTCCTTGGAGGCCTGGGAGGCCAGGGACCCCATAGCGTTGCGGATGGCCTCGTTGTTGGGATCCACCCCCGGCAGGTTTTCCAAAACGCTCTGGAGGAATTCAGGATCCTGCATGACATCGTAGTCGTCTTCTTCCTGAGGGAGGAAGGGGTCGGATGTCACTAGTGGAAGCCACTAGTGGGTTAATCTGGGAATAGGGAACAGACCACAAGGGGAGTCCCTCCACCCGCTAAGTCAGGAGTTCTGAGAAAGCTGGATTGGGGGGGCAGCAGAGGCGACCAGGCCCAGGTACAAGCCAACCCCGTGCCAGAATTTCCCTTTCCTGCATCGCTGCCGTCTTTTAAAAATAGCAGCAAGGGAACCTGGGCCAGGGGGCACATCCTGTCTCACGAGGCCCCCAAGCAGTCTAGAGAGGGACTCTTCTCATGGCTTCAGCGCTGCCCCCTTCAAGCCCAGCTCGGTCTCCCCAAAACTCAAACCTTGGCGGGTTCTGACGTGTCCATATCAGCTGAACTCTCCCCCTCCACCGACTCGCCTTGCCCAAATTCTGGAGAGAGAGAGAGAGAGAGAGAGAAGAGAGGTTGGTGGCAGTGCCGGTTTAACTGGTCTTGCTTCTCTCCAGCCCGCTTGCTGGGGTTGGCCCGGCCCACCCCCCTCTCCTCCCCCCCCCTCACCAGCTCCCTGAAGAGACATCTGCATAGCGTAGGCGATCTGCTCCTCCTCAGTCATGGTGCTGAGGTCAGGCAGGCCGGCTCGGCCAAAGTCCTGCTGCCCGATGGTCATTTTGAGCAGAGCGTCGTCTGAATCTGAAACACAGAAAAGGGCAGAGGGGTTCCCATTGGAGGGTGGTGGGCTTCAAAGCTGCCCCCGAGCGAGGCTTGAGGATTTGCAGGCAGGCAACGCCTGGCCTTTTTTTTTTCAAAGTGGCTTTTTAAAAAGTCTTAATTCCATGCGCCATTCAGCTAAAGGGAGCCAGGTTTCTTAAAAATTATTCAATTCAGAAAGTTAAAATACAAATTCCCACAAAATAATTACAAGCAAAAAAAAAAAATCAAGGACAAAACCTTAAAAAAAACATGCATAAAAAGGACAAAAGACAAACACACACACAACACACATTACCGCTGGGTTGATTAGGGATAAATATGATACCACAAAGTTAGTTTCTCCCGTTTTGAACAGCTGCAAGAGTCCCAATTCTTGCTTGCTCAGAAAACGAGGAAAGCCAAGCCGCCCCCCCTCAAGGAGAGGGCCCTGGAGCCCCCCACCAGCTCTTCTCTTACCATCCCCGCCCGAGGTAGGAATGCCGGCCTCGGCGGCAGAGGCAGCAGCTGCCCTGCGGGCCTCTTCCTCCTGACGCTGACGCTGCTCTTCCATGGACACTCGCAGAGCCTGGAGGGGCAGAGGAAACATCAGCAGCCGCTTCCTCAGTGGGGTTACGCTGGCTGAGGAATTCTGGGAGTTGAAGTCCACAGGCCTCCAAGTGGCCAAGGTTGGGCCCCCCTGCCTCACAGCTAACTCAGGCATTCGGGGAATGGCAACCCAACTGCCCGAGGTTGGAGAAAGGAACCTCCAGAAGAGCCCCATGGCCTGCCTTACCAGTGCCAGCTCTGGGTCAGCGCTGGGATCCACGCCAAACTCAAAGTCGCTTGCCCCCAGGCCCAGCATGGCTCCCCCCTCTCCAGCCAAGATGGGGGAGCTGATGAGGGCATCGGCCAAGCTGGGCCCGGGAGGCACCGTCACCAGGTGGGAACCGGTGCCGTCTTTGCCATTCAGGGTGTTGATGAAAGCGGTCAGCTTGTCCGTGTTGGCCTCCTACAGAGGAGGAAGGGAAGGAGAAGTTGGGGAGATGAGGCCTCCCCCAAAAACTTGATTCACAAAGCCAACCTTGGGGGGGGGGGATGTCCCCTCACCTCTTCTCCAAAGTTGATGATATCCACGTTCACTTTCTCCTTCTTCAGCCGCTTGGCCAGTTTCACCAGCTGTAAATAAAGGGAGTGCCAGGGGCATCAGTGCCCTTCAATGGGTCAACCGGAACCAAGGACAGGCGCTCCGTTTGGGAATGCCAAGGCTGGACGTGGGTCTCTCCAGAGGAACCCCAGCTATGGGGTGAGGAGTGCTCGGCAGCATTTCTGAAGTTTCATTCTATTTAAACTCCCCCTCTACGTTTTTAAATTAGGTTGACGTATTTTGTCTTTCGTGTTACTCACGTCCTTCTCGTTGTCTTCCACGGGGCTCCCAACGAAGGCAATGATGCGCATTTTGTGGTTCTTCCCCTGGCGGTGCTTCAGAGCCAGCTTTGGAAAGGAAGAAGAGTTTTAGGGGAAGGGCTGTGGCCTCAAATTACGAAGCGGAGAGAACACCTGAACTTTTGCTCGAAACTTTTACACCTGAGCAGGCAGAGCTCCAGTCTCATAGATCCCAGCAGCCGAGGAAAGAGTTGGTGTGGGTGGGGGAATGACTGCGATCCGGTCAGAGTCACACAGAGAGAGAGAGAGAGACCTGGGGGTGGGGTGGGGGGAGAGGCGGCTTACGTGAGCCACTCGGATGCCGGTACAGAAGGTGATCCTTCCTCTGGGTTGCACCGAATGCAGCTTGGACAGGATGCGGCCAGTGTCCGGCGTCAGGGTGGTCAGCACTTCGCAGTTGCTGCAACACAAACCGGCCAGGATCAGAAAGCCCCCCCCCCCTCCAAAGGAGACCCCAGAGAGAAGATCTGGGAGAAGCACGCCAGGGACCTCGTGGGTCATCTAGTCCAACCCACTTCCCAGGTGCCGCCACACAAGATGGGCCAAGCTCAAAAGCCGCCTCTCCAAAGCAGACTTGACAGGGGTGTGTGCGTTTGTGTGAAGATGATAAAAAAACACACATTGCTCAAGTCCTCAGCCAACTGACTCAGAGGCCTATAGCCCTTCCTCCATTTCCAAGACAAGCAGTATCATGCAGACATTAAAGAAAATGTGCGTCTGGGAAAGGCATCGCAGAGACAAGGGCCCTGGGAGGTCACCTGGCAGGCCAGGTCCAAAAAAAAGGCAGACCCGGGAGAGGCGGAGGGGAGACAAGGCGGGGCGTGACAGAATCCCAGGGGGCTCGGAGGGGCCCCCACCCCCAGAGGGCATCCAGCCCACCCCCTTCGGGGCGAAGGGACCCACTTGGCCAGCGTGATGAGCCCCACGTTGTTCTCGGGGTTGGAGCGGGTCTTGGAGTGGCAGACGATGTTGACGGCGTCCTGCTGCGCCTGGAGGCGGGTGGGCAGGAAGTCCCCGTTCCGCATGTACTCGCTGTTGTCCACGCTGCGAATTGGGGGGGGCCAGACCCGGGCCGTGACTCAGGGAAACCCGCTCCCGCCCCCTCCGGCCGCTCCCGGCCCTGCCCACCCGGCCCCCCGGCCGCCCCTCCCGCCGCTCACCAGACCATCGTGCTCTCCAGCACCATCGCGGCCCCTTTGCTCGCCCCACAGGCGCCCCCCCCGACTCCGCTTCCTGCCTCTGTCCCTCCGGCCGACCGGCCGCTCCCGCGCCACCAATCAGCGTCGCTCTTCTTAGCAGGTCGGGGCGCGGGGCATCCCGGGAGGGGTAGTTCTAGCGCCTGCGCGGGGAGTTTCGTGGGCGGAACGCGCAGGCGCAGACCTTACTATGTGGTGTGTGGTTTTTTTTTAAAGGCGTGCGTGTTACATACAAGGCTACCCATGTACGTATAAATTGTACGTAATTCGTATGTAGATGTATAAATGAAATATAATTTATAAATTTTATATGTATATATGCGTGTGTATAAATATAAACCTGTATCATTGGATACAGATTTATATAAAAATTGGATGGATTTATATAGATATATATATTTACGTACGCTTTACATATATATGCGTATATTATGGAGATCGTTTATTGGACGTAGGGGGGATATTTGTCATTCATGCCCTTCTTCCTGCAGGCTGGGGCTGATGGGACCTGGAGTTTGGCTAGTCTGGAGGCGCGCCAGCATGGGAAAAGCCTGCCAAGGCATGGAGAGAAAGAAAGCCGCTCGCCTCGAAGTGGTTGTGAAGGAAAGGGAAGCCGAGACGCTTCCGAGCGTCAATGAGACACGATTGCCCCTGAACAGGCAGGAGACGCAGGAGCGGGCCTGCTATTTATAGGCAGCGAGGGGGCTTCGGAAGGGCCGCGTCCCATTGGTACACCCGGGAATGGGCGGAGTCACCGAAAAACACTTTCGATTGGTCGCTTGGTAGGGACCAATGGAAGCGACCTTCAGTGAGGCAGCCAAGCGCTATTGGCTAGGAGCCGAACAGCGCGAAGTATAAATTGAGGCCCCACAGGTAAGCAAAGCAGAGTTCGGTTCGGAGGAGTCGTGAGGCAGTGAGCCGGGCAGGGAGCTTGCGCAATATCCGTCCCGTGCAGCCCTTCTTGGGTGGACCCAGGGGAAGACTTGGGGCCTCAGGTTCTCTTGCCTGTAGAAGGGGGTCTCGTGATTCCTGTAGTGTCACCAATAAAAATTTGCACACCTGCTCCACCTGTCTCCGGGTTGATGGGAATTGTATAATGGGGTGACCCCTTCCCCATTTGGAGACGAGGCAGGTGTTGCGCCAAGGAGGGTTTGCTGCTGGGTATGTCCGGGCATGAGGGGGGCCTTAAATCCGGGGCCTCCAATCTTGACTATATTAAAGTGTGCACTTCCAACTCCCAGAGTTCCTTAGCCATCCTCGCTAGCTGGGGAATTCTGGGAGTTGAAGTTCATAGGTCTTAAAAGTTAGCAAAGTTGGAGAGCCACATAAGCAACACCCCAGATACTCCCACTGTGATTGCCACAACTGTTATTGCTCCTTATCTGCCATCTCCCCACTCCCTCTTTGTCCCCCCAAAGTTAAAAAATTATGCAGTCTAAAAATCGATTCCCCTGGGAAAGAGACCACCAAAGACAGACTTGAAATATAAGTTTATAAATTACAAACGTTTGTGGCAGGAAACTTCCAAACCGGTCTAATGTAGACATTTCCTTAACATGTATGGAACAATTTGGGGAGAGACTCAAAGGCTCAAGTTTAACAAGTGCCCCCCCCCCCAAAGGGGGCTCTCAAGGCAGATCCCATATTCACAACCAGCCATGTGATTATACATATTTTTTGGAGGTGTAACAGACGCACTGCTCCCTTTCAAATTCTTTTCTCAAAAATAGAGCTGGCCTTTTATTTACCCTGATCTCAGGGACCTACCTTCATCCATCTTCTCTGCAGCCAACATTCAATGTTGGCCCATTTCTCGTTAAATGCTTCACAAAAATATCTATAAAACTCACTGGGAACACAACTGTCCTTTTTCACTTTCTTGCTCTCCCTTCAAATACGGAAGGAACAAAAACAGGTGTTCTCCCTCCCAGATAGAGGTACGTCCCCCTCAACAACACCCTAAAACCTTTTCGGAACAATCGCTGCTTCTGAGAGGCTTTGCTCGGGCCAGAAAGATGTGCCACCTCCAAGTGCAACCCAAGAGGATGCTTCGTACGTGCAAATGAATTCGGATTCTTACAGATTGCTAAAAAATATGAGCCAGAAGGGAGGTTGAAGGCAGAGCTAGAAACCCTGACTGGCGTTTTACAAGCTTCTCAAAAGGGGTTTAATACTGAAATCTCAACGGCAGGAGGTGAAGTTTGGTCCGTCGGTAGAATACTAAAAACCACTGGAAAACGGTACTCTGGACTCCGGCTCCCAATGGCTCGGAGGTCAAGGCCGGGCTGGCTGGTGGGGCCGACTAACCCAGGCCCACAAGTGTCCTGGAGCAGGGAGATGGGTGCAGAGAGGCTTCCGAGACGCCTTCCGTGATACAGTGCTGAAAATGGGGCTCCCCCCCCCCCCCCCCCCCCCCCCCCCCCAGATACAGGCTGGCTGAGAGGATCCCGGCCTCGGCCAGCTGCCTTTCCCAAAAGCCCCCCGAGGTGGGCAGTGCACGAGAGAGGAAGCGTCGCGACACTTCAGGAAGCCGGCATGACGAAAGAGCGTCCGTCTTTTGCAACCTTCTCCAAGTGGGCAGCCTCCGTTTCCGCAGCGCCCCCCGGAGGAAGCGACTACGGTGGTTGTGGGGCTTGGGGAGAGCGGACCTCCTCTGCACGCCCTTCTCCTCCGAAGCCCCCCCAGGCTGGGCCCGCTCTGTCCTCCGCCCAGGCTGGAGGGGGCTGGACGCCTTCCGTGAGCCCCTGCGCCCCGGAGCTGGGCCGCCTGGGGGGCTCCGAGGGGCCCCAGGCTTCAGTCTCCTCCGTTCAAAAGAGTTTGTGGTGTCAGCAGTTCCAAGGGGCGGGGGGGGGTCCTGCTCCACCCCCCCATCCTCCCCTCGCAAAGAGACCGGCCATGCAGAGAGTGGGGAAGATCTTCGGCTCACGTTTCTCCCCCGGGGTGGGGGGCAAAGGAACCCGCCCAGGGCACTTTCACTGAAAGAACAAAAGAGGAGGAAGGAGGGTCAGATCGGGGACCCCGAGCCTGGGTGCTTGAGACGGGGGGCTGCCAGTTCCGGTGAGGGCAGGGACCCTTTCCCCTGCGTATCCCCCCCAAACAGTCACCCCAATGGGGGAGGTGGGCTGAGGAGGGAAAGAGACTCACACAATTGATTTCTGTTTCGGCCAAATCTCCCAGTTGCTGCACCAGCTCAGAAGGCTGCCCTGTGACCGAAGGGCTGGGGGAAGCACTGGGGGGGGGAGGGGGGGGGAAGCAGAGGGGGAGTGGGGGGGGGGGCACCTCCACCAGCCCCAACCCCATCATTGGACCCACCGTCACTCACTCTCACTCTCTGACACACACACACAATGTCCTGGTCCTGCGGCATGAAACCTGCTGTGCCATCGAGAGCCACAATCCGTGTGTGCCGGAAAGCTCTTTCCAAGCTGCCGAGAAGGACGTGGCGCCTCCCACGGCCCTGGGTGAGAGCAACCCTCTTTGGCCAGAAGGGAGGGGAGGACTGGGGCCCCCCAGGAGCTACTCCCCTGGCCCTGGGGGGGGGGGGCAAGGGGGCTTCCACGGCCCGGCTGCCTAGACTCTGCCTCACCTACTTGAAAGCATCCTGCACTATCTAGCTCCGTAGGCAACTTGTCTGATCTGACAAACTTTCGCCTCTCTGACCTACGTGGAGATGAAGAGACGGACCTTTGGTCAACTGGGGAGGGGGGAAGAAAAGGTCCCCCCCTCCCCGCCAGGCCCCGTTCCAAGGGCTTCGAAGTTTTCAGAGAACTAGGCTGTTCTTGTGAAAAGTCTCCTTCGGTCTGGAAATATGGAGGAGAGCACAGGGGCCCTTTGGGGGTCTCCAATCTCTGCCCCCACTCACCTTTCCAGAAGGAAGACAGCCGGGTCCTTGGGGGTGTCTGGTGGGGGCGCCTCTGCCCCCATTGAGCTGAAGGGAGCAAGAGGGGAAGAGAGTGGACGCCAGGCCCGTCTCCACATGGGAGAGCCCACGAATGAGCCCTCCGAAATCTCACCCCAGGGTGGGCGGGGCCATTCTCTCCACGGCCAGGATGGCCAAGCCCCCCCAATGGCTCCAGGGACCCTCCAGCCCCTGGGAAACCTCCCCACCCTGCAGGGGACAGCAACTGACCGGTTGGCTGGCGAGCTGTGCCCGGGGCTGCCCAGCGAAGAGGTGGACAAGGTGGTCGCTGCCGAGTCGCTGTTGGCCTCTTCAACGGGGGGCGTCTGGGGAAGCAGGTCAGGGCGCCCCAGCTGGGACCCTGAGAAGGGAGAGGGGGAGGCTGAGTGACCCTTGCTGTGCAGCATGGGTGTGTTCACAGCAGGCCCTGCTACCCCGTCGAGATTGACAGAGGCTGACAGAGAGGGTGGGTCACCCCCAGAAGACCTTTTGGAACAGGCTGTCCAACCTTGGCCGCTTTTAAGAGCCGGGGACTTCAACTCCCAGAATTCTGTGCATGGCTGGCTGGGGAATTCTGGGAGCTGAAGTCCCCAGCTCTTAAAGTGGCCAAGGTTGGAGACCCCTGCTTTAGAAGGGCTCCTGGCTGGGGTTAGAAACCACCCCCTCCCTGGCACAAGCTTACTGTTTGGACCCTCTCCCCAATTCGGATGACAAGAGCAGGGTTGCAGGCAAGGGGCACCCACCTGTGTCCATGTCCGCCTCCATTGTGACCTGGACTTTCGTCTCGCTCAGCGCCTGGGCGGGGGTCCCGCTCTGGCCCGGCCGACGAGGAGGTCCCATCCCGGAGCGGCTCTTTTTCGAAGGGGAGGATTTTACTTTGAGGAGAAAGAGACCAAAATCAGCTGAAGAGTCTTAGGAGCCCCTCTAAGGCTCATAATTTTTTTTGGGGGGGGGGCATGGGAAGGAGACCCCCGCTCCTGCCAGGCCGGCCGGCCGGCGACCCACAAGGGACTCACGAGGGATCTTCTTAAAGACTGCCTGGCACATGAAGCGCTGGAACCTCTCGGCGTAAAAGCTCGGCCGGTGAACCGAGACCGTGTCCTGCAGGGAAGCGGGCAAAAGTCACCCCCAAAAGAAATGCGGGGGGCAGCCGGGGGGGCAGAGGATCTTCCTGCCCCCCACTCCAGATCCCTGTTTCCTCCCGCTTGCTCCGTCCACCTTGGCCGCCGCTTACCCCGTCGTGAACCAGGGCTTTCCACGAGTGCTCCAGCTTCTTCATGAACCTGCAGCAGGGACCGGAAGGGAGGAGGAGGAGGAGGGAGGAGACGATGCTGAAAACCAGGCTGGGCGGCGGCAGGTCTGCCCCAAAGGCCCAGCCCGGCTGCCCTCCTCCCTTCCAGCTTCCCTGCTGCCCTTATTCCCCTCCGGCCTCTCTCTCTGCCCCCCGTGGCCACAGAGCCGCTGCTGGCTCTGCCTGGGCTGGCAGGAGGAGAGGAACGCCCAGGCGGCCCCACCCGAGCGGAGGAGGAGGAGGAGGCCGGGCGGCTGCTCTCACCTGTAGGACTGGAGCACGTCGATGATCCCCACGTAGAGGAGCAGCCTCTCCCCCTTGGCGTTTCGGGCCGGGATGCCTCCCATCCTGCCAGGGGGAGGAAACGGAGGCATGGGACGGGTGGAAGGGGAGCCCCCCGCCAGGACCCCCCGCCTCCCCTCCGAGACGCCCTGGCTCTGCTCCCAAACTGGTGCAGGGCCTGGCTTGGGTGCCCCCACTTACTGGTCGTCCGTCTCGATGGTGCCCCCCCGCCGGGCCTCCCCCTGGATGGCCTCCATGGCGGTGGAGTAGAGGGCCCTCTGGCCGGCCGGCCGGCGTGTGTCTGCCAGGGAGGCCCCGTCGGCTACCGCCCGTTCCCGCTGGGCCAGGTCCAGGTTGTGAACGGCCACCAGCAAACTGTAGTCCATGATCTTGAAGCTCTGCAGGACCTGGTCGGGGGGGGGGGGGGGGGGGGGGGGAGGCGGAGGAAAAGGAAGCCCCCCCCCCAAGTAAGCCATGAGGGCTGGGCGGCCTTCGCCCCCTTCTGCCTCTTACCGGAGCGGCCAAGTCGCAGCTCAGGTGGGAGGAGGCGGCCAGGTAGACTTTGGCCCCAGGAGCCATAAAGGCCCTTTACGCAACCCGACCCTGAGGAACCCCTGGGGCCTCTTCCTCAAGGAGTGCCAGGCCCCCTCCCAAAACAGCCCCCAGCCTCCAGAGCCCCCTGGTCCCAGCCCCCTCCTCACTCTTTCTGGCTCTTCAAGGCGCCTGCTCCCTTCTCTGGGTTGCTTTGAGAAGCCCCCAGCCTCCAAACGAAGAGGAAACGGACCCCTCCCTGCTTCGAAGGGCAGAGCAGCCCCCGCCTCCCTGGGGGGAGGGGCAGCGGGGGGCACCCCCCACCTACCAGGCAGTCCCGCTGCAGGGTCTTGCACAGGGCGCTGTGCATGTCGGCGTCCAGGAAGAGCCCCTCGGGGGCCTCCTGCAGGAAGTCCAGGTCCTTGTAGGTGGGGAAGACCTTCTCGCGCTCCTTCGGCGACGCCCGGCGCTTGTAGGTGGAGCCCTTCAGGTCGAACTTCTGGTGCATCCGCACCGAGCGAGGGAGCAGGTTGTTCATCACCACCATGCGGATGTTCTTGCCCCCCGCCTGGACGCAGTAGAGGCCGTAGAACTTGGGCAGCAGCGTCCGGGGGTTCTGGTTCAGGTTCTGGGAAGGGAAGGGGGGGGGTTCCTTTCAGGTGAAGCCCCCAAGGAGGGCGGGGGAACTCCTAGCGCCCAGGTGGGTGGGTGGGTGGGGAATCCGGGGCTCCCATTAGGGGCTTTGTGCCAGGGGGCCCCGGGGGTCCCAGCTGAAGGAGAGAGGGAGGGTCTCCTGGGGCCTCCCCCCCCCCCCGCTCACCATGTAGTATCCCGGCAGCAGCTTCTGCAGGAACTCGGCCTCCTTGTGCTGGACGGTCTTGATGATGAATTCGTCATCGCTGGAGACGTAGAAGATGGAGCCGCTGGCGCCGGAGTTGGAGAGCTCAATGAGGGGCTCGCTGCAGAGGGAGCACTGCGGGGGGGGGGACATGGGGGACACACACACACACAAGAGGATCAGCGCTTCCAACCTCTCCCCCTCCAAGCGAGGAGAGCTTCCAAGGGCCACCCCCCAGGCCCCCTCACCAAGTAGTCGTCCGGCCGGATGCCGAAGAGCTCCCGGAAGTAGCGGAAGGCCACGGGGGCGTAGGTCTTGAAGCGGAAGTCGTTGTAGTGGTGGGCCGGGGTCAGGTTGCTGCCTTCGCTGCAGGGGGAGAGGGGGAGGCTCAGTCGGGAGGGGGCAGGCGGAGGAAGCCCCCCGATTGGCTGCGGCTGACCCGGGGGGCGGGGGGTCGGGGGGGGGGCAGCTCACCCGGGGAAGAAGATGCTCTCCACCACGTAGAAATCCTGCATCAGGACGTCCCGCTCCGGCTTGGTGCTGAGGCTGCCCACCGTGTGGGTGATGCCCAGCTGGATGGCGCCTTTGAGAGCCGAGGAAGTTGTCTGAAGTGGGAGG